TGGGGGGGGGGGGAATGGCACCTGGGACTTGAAAGAGTCGTCGTGTGTGGGGGGTTACATTCTTTATTGTCTGTCATCGCCTTTGAAATCTGACAAAAGAAGGGCTCGCAGGCTCCCTTTCTTAACCGGGATCCACTTTCTCAGGAGTGCGTAAACTTGGAAAGGAAACCGGAGTGCTGTTGGAGGGGGGGTGTTGTTGTTGTTGAAAATAGACGTGATTGTTGCCAATCGGAGGCAAAGAAACTTTTTTTTTTTTTTTTTCCTAGAGGCTGCTCGTGGGTTGCTACTGTTTGGAAGAGCAGCACATTTGCCCGAGCTGGAAAGACTCTTCCTTCTCATCCCCCCCTCCCCGCGTGTTCAAGGTGGAACCGTTTCTTGAGGGCACCTTTCCCAAATTTGAGTCAAGGCATAGGAAGTCAGCGAAGTCAAGATAAGCATAAAATAATGGCCATTTACAAGGGGGAGTCACCAGCAACTGGTGGTGTTCAGGGAATTAGAATCTTGAAGGGGTCATGTAGAGTATTGTCGACTTAATCGTGTCTGTAACATGACGTTAGCTCCAGAGAGCCACATCTGGGAGGATACATTTTTTGGGGAGCAAATGTTCCCTGAACATCAGCCTCTCCTGACGGTGGTGTTTCTAGTGGCCTTTGGAGGATGGGGATGAGATCAGGGATTAGAAAGACTACATCTAAAGACAGTGGATCCTGGTCTTCTACGATTACGTTGAAGCTTCCAGCATCCTTCTGCGGAGATAGGGAGAATGCATGTGCACGGGCAAGAGGCTGGCTCATTGCAGTGCGTCCCGCAAGAGTGTGACAGTGATTAAAATGAAAATGCTTTCCGGATGGCCGCAAATGCTTTTGAACTTCCCCATTGGAGAGAAGGGGCCAGGCTTTTGACTTCCAGAAAACTCATATTCCCCTCACTCTGGCTCTCTCCACTTCTATATGGCAGTGTGTCCTTCAGTGCAACTGTGTGCACTTTAAACAGAGTGCATGCTGATTTACTTCTCCTAATTGTGCCCGAGGACACCATAACAAGTAACTGGGGAGTACTGTGTTTGCTTATGAGAAGAGCCATTAAGGAAGATAAAAGTTGAATTAACGATCCAGACCTTTCTCTGTACACTGCAGTTTTATCTCTCCCCCCCCACCCCGTCTTGGGTATTAAAAGTAAACACATTCTGCTTCAAGGGCTGGTATTTCCATCACCATTTATCTAAATGCCTTGGAATCATAGATCCGCATGCTAGTTCTTGCCCAGAAGTCTGCCTTAGAAAGATATGCCAGTTAAAATAATCAAGGGATTATAACAATCTAAGTGGCTCTTGAATCGCCTCCTCGCCCCCTAGTGTGATCCATAATGTCATCCAAAAGTCACAAGTATGTTCATCCCAACATGAAGAATTACCTTCAGTCTTGCAGGCCCATTTCAATGGCAAGTAAGCCAAGGTGCTTGGTTTTAAAACAGTTTTGTAGCACTGCTTGAGGTCCACATTCTCAGGCCAAATGTCTACGGACCAAAGCTGACCACCATGATGAATGGTGGTTTTCTACTAAAATCAGAGTTGCTGCCTACAGAGTAATAGCTTCAGCCTATATGTGCTTACTCAGAAGTAAGGCAGTGAGCTCAACAGAATTTACGCCCAATTAAGTGTGCAGGGGCTCTAGCCTAGCTGTGTACGGACTCATGTTTTGCAGTACAGCCAGATTTTTTGCCGTATCAGGATACTCGTGACTGCAAACTCCAGGAGGTTGCAAAACCTTCTGACTGAATGGCATGAGTCTCTGAAAAGCGTGAAGGGAAGCCAAACAAAACCATGCATGATAGCAGCACACATGGTCCTAATTCTGAAGCTGTGCACAGATGTTTTGAGAGGGGGGGATTAAGCTTGCACCTTTCTGGTTGGCTGCATGTTGAACTATCTCCGAGTCAGCAGAGCTAAGACTGCAGTTCTTTAATCGCTTCCAAAGGACTTGGTCCATCGACTTCAGGAGTACCACTCTCAAGTAACAGGACTGAGTGCTGTAGCCCTACAAGAAAGGGGCAACGTGGGGGGAGAACAGTGCTTCCATGAAATATGTTTTGAATCCTCCTCCTCCACAGCGGGGGATTCGTCTTTAGAAAATGTGGAGCTATTGACTTTGTTAATAAATTGCAAACAGACAGTGACTTCATGAGAAACAGAGGGAAATACTCAGCTGTGACATAATAGAGACACATAAACGAGGAATTTCTAACCATAATTAAAACTATGTAAAAGACCTACTTTAGATAAATAATTGAGTATAGCTGATAATTGGAAAGTCTCATAGGACTCGTTGCTCACCAGATATCGTTGCTGAAACCAGGTTGCTTTAAAGAGAATGCCTGTTTTTAATCATATTGACAATATTCGTCATAAAAATGTAATAGCCTGATGCTGTATTTGTCTGGGAATGGAGTGAACACTGAGGCTCAAAATGCCTAACAGGTCCTAAATTAATACCCCATACAGTGCTCTGCCTAGTTCTTTTATTTACCTTATGTTACCTTCTTTCCATTGTTACTGGCCTGGATGTGCCAACAATTTATACATATATATAAGCCATTGGAGAAGACATTGATAAAATAAGACACGGTGGGATAAGAGGTTAGAGAATAGATACTCAAGACAGACAAAGTGTCAGGCATATACCAAATATTTGTCCCTACTAGGTGGATGATTTTAAATATTTGGAGAACTGGATTGTAGGAAAGCAAGATCCAAGTGCAGTGGGACCTTAAATACCAACAAGATTTCCAGGGCATAAGCTTTTAAGTGTCTCTCAAAAGTTTATCCCCTGGAGAACTTGTTGGTCTTTAAGGTCCCACTGCACTTGGATCTCGCTATTCTGCTGCAGACCAGCACAGCTCCCCACCATGGGTTTTACAAGGATCCGTATCTGCAGCCCAACAGAGCAGAAACTCTTCCCATGTTCAGGAGTCAGCAGAATGGCACACTGTACCAAGTATTAAGGTTTCCAGGTCCCCCCTGGCCACCAACGGGGTGGTGGGGGTATGGTTGCCAGATCCAGGTTGGGAAATCCTGGAGATTTGGGGGGGGGTGGAGCCTGGGCAGGTCAGGGACCTTAGCGAGGTACAATGCCACAGAGTCCATCTTCCAGAGCATCCATTTTCTGCAGGAGAACTGATCTTTGTAGTCTGGAGATGAGCTGTAATTCTGGGGGATCCCCATATCCCACCTGGAGGTTGGCATCCTTACCAGGAATGGATGCAAACAGTTATTCGTCACCCAAGGGACATCTTTGCAGTGGGACACATAGGTCATCAGTTGCCCCATTCTTTTTGCAACATGTGGCAGAGAACATGATTTCAGGCCCTGCCTGATGCAACCTGCTGAGCACCACAGCTGCTGCAGCATGTGTCCTCCTCGTGCTGTTCCAGAAATGTCATATATCTGAGATCACATGGGAGGAGTTCACAGAGCATCTCCTCCTTACATCAGCATTGTTACTCCTCAAAACTGGATCAATCCATGCAGACACAGAAGGGTGTCACATTATTGGACTCCTCCTGCAAAGTCTGTGTTTCTGACACTACTGGTACACACGGCGGTGTTTTCCATGCTCTGAAAGGTCATGTCAGGTGGGACACTTCTAGCCGTATCAACAGCACAATAGAACAGCAGCTAAACCCAGATTAATGCATTCTCAATAGATGTTTTGTTGTGAATCTCCACTGGGAAGTGACAGCATGCTCCCCAAAAGACATTGTAAGAACCCGGCTAGATCCAGACCTGTATGCAGAAACATTTTTTTTCTCTCCTAATTTTTCCCCTTTGTTCTGTATCCTGCCAATATTACTTCCCTACTCAACTGCTATTATTCGGGGGGGGGGGGGGGTTGTGTTTAATCATCAAAAAGGTCAGCATTGCCTTTGATGTTCATTGGTACTGAATTCTTCCACATATGTTCTTGGAACTTTCTTCCACATATGTTTCTGGTATTGAAAAATGCAAATCGGGTGTATGTAGTCCATGCTGCAGTCTCTCTCCTCTTAGATGCCTCTGTTTTTAGACCCTCAGTTATGATAATGTCAAAGCAAGCCCTAGGATTCCAAAGAAAAAAATGTCCAGTTTCTGAAGCCGGGGCAACATAGTCTTTACTGTTCAGCAGCCGGGACTGTCACACTGTAAGGAAAGACTACAGTAGGATCCAGGAAGGATACGATTCCTTTTATCACTTGCTTAAAATGTGAGTCTGGGAAACAGGTTGCCATCGCAGGAGAAGAGAATGGCTACCCAGCATGGAGACAACACTGTGATGCCCCAGAACCCCTTGACTCTCATGGGCGAGACATCCTTCTTTCGGAGATTGGATGCTTTGCATAGAGCACCCACTGACCACTTCTGCCATAGAGCATTATGAAACGTAGTGGTTATGAATTGTTCTTCAGTGCTTGGTTTGGATGTGGAAATGTACTGTTTTGTTTGTCTCAACGTTGAGATGATAACTTTTTTAAAAATATTGTATTTTTCAGAAGCTGCTGGATGACCATGAAGCTCTGGATCATTGTGTTCTGTTTGATGGGAATCGCCTGTGATATATTACAGTCCGAACTGGTTTTCCCTTCAGCCATTGGCTCTTGTGAGATGTTGTGTTCGTGTGAGGAAAAGGATGGTATCTTTATAATAAACTGTGAAGAAAGAGACATCAAGGAGTTATCTCAAGTACACATTCCACCATCCCGGCCTTTCCACCTTAGTCTCCTGAACAATGGCTTGACCATGTTACACATGAATGACTTCTCCAGCTTTAGCAATGCTCTCTCGCTCCACCTTGGATTTAATAATATTGTAGACATTGAACCTGGAGCATTTAATGGGCTAAGCCACCTTAAGCAACTTCACATCAATCACAACTCTATAGAGATACTGAAAGAGGATACCTTTCATGGGCTGGAAAACTTGGAATTCCTGCAAGCAGACAACAATTTCATCACAATCATTGAACCGAGTGCCTTCAGCAAGCTCAACAGGCTTAAGGTGCTCATTTTAAATGATAACGCCATTGAGTTTCTTCCTCCAAACATATTCCGCTTTGTGCCATTAACTCACCTGGATCTTCGGGGGAACCAGCTGCAGACTTTGCCCTATGTTGGTTTCTTAGAACATATTGGTAGAATTCTAGACCTTCAGTTGGAAGACAACAAATGGGTCTGTAATTGCGACCTACTAGAGTTGAAGGTTTGGTTAGAAAACATGCCTCCCCAGTCCATCATAGGTGACGTTGTATGCCACAGCCCTCCCATTCTGAAAGGTAGCATTTTAAGCAGGTTAAAAAAGGAATCACTTTGCCCCACGCACCCTACAAATGACCTTGACTCTCCTTCAGGGTCATTGCCCTTGGTGGTTACCACCTCAATCAGTGATAGCCACTTCTCAACCAAGGTAATACCTATTCTTAAAGCCCCCACCAAGGAATCCAGCATAATCCTTCCTGTCACAAAGCCAGCCACTCTGCTTCCTGGGATCTATTGCCCTGTCCCCTGTCAGTGTACCAGCCACATCCTCGCAGGGATTTTAATGCAGTGTCAAGAACAAAACATTGAAAGCTTGTCTGATTTAGGACCTCCTCCTCCAAATCCAAAAAAACTTATTCTGTTGGGGAATATTATCCAGACCTTACTAAAATCAGACCTTGTGGAGTATGGGAGTCTAGAAATTCTTCATTTGGGAAACAACCGTCTTGAAATCCTAGAAGAAGGCTCCTTCCTAAACCTCACCAAGCTGCAAAAATTATATCTCAACGGCAATCATCTCACGAAGCTCAATCGCAATTTGTTTTTGGGCCTGCAGCGACTGGAGTATTTGTATCTCGAGTACAATGCCATCAAGGAGATTTCACCGGGGACATTTAATCCAATGCCTAAACTGAAGGTCCTCTGTTTAAACAATAACCTTCTTCAGACTTTGCCACCCCATATTTTTTCCGGAGTTCCTCTAACCAGGCTAAATCTGAAAAACAACCAATTTGCACATTTGCCCATAGGGAATGTCTTGGATGATCTGGATCTCCTGGTACAAATTGAGCTGGAAGACAACCCGTGGGATTGTACTTGCAACTCGGTCGGGTTGCAGCAGTGGATACAAAAGCTGAACAAAAATACAATGACGGGTGAAATTTTCTGTACGTCTCCGAGGCATCTTGTGAAAAAGGAACTTAGATCTCTGAGCAGCGATGACTTATGTCCTGACTTAATAAACAGCCCAGCCCTCCCGACTCATGCCAGCTTCATCATTGTTACAACGGCATCAACCACCACGAACACAGCAGACACAATTCTGAGATCGCTAACAGACGCTGTCCCTCTCTCAGTTTTAATACTGGGGCTCTTTGTGTTGTTGATAACCATCATTTTCTGTGCAGCAGGTATTATCGTTCTTGTTTTACATCGGCGGCGAAGGCACAAAAAGAAACAAGCAGATGAGCAGATGCGGGACAACAACCCCGTACAGCTTCAGTACAGCATGTACGGCCACAAGACAACCCACCACACCAGCGAGCGCCCAGCCACGACTTTGTATGAACAGCGTATGATCAGCCCCATGGTTCAAGTTTATCGAAGTCCATCCTTCAGCCCCAAATGTTCAGATCATCATAAGGTAGAGAGGAGGGAGAAGGACGTGAACAATTCTAAACACCTCCGCAGGGGACTCTTAGAAAGGGAGCACTCCTCCCCCCTGACAGGGTCAAGTGTCAAATACAAAGCTACGGACCAGTCACCTGAGTTCCTTTCTTTCCAAGATGCAAGCACTTTGTACAGGAACATTCTTGAAAAGGAAAGAGAATTTCAGCAGCTTGGGATAACGGAGTATCTACGGAAAAACATTGCCCAGCTACACCCTGATATGGAAGTACGTTATCCAGGAGCTCATGAAGAGCTCAAACTGATGGAGACACTCATGTACTCGAGGCCCAGAAAGGTTTTGTTAGAACAGACTAAAAATGAGTATTTTGAGCTCAAAGCCAACCTGCATGCTGAACCTGATTACCTGGAAGTTTTGGAACAGCAAACATAAAAAAAACCCCTTTGGAGGGGGTATTAAAGCATAAACTCTTCTATCTTAAGTTGGAACTGTGTAAATAAAAGTGCCTTATTATAATGTGTCACCAATCAGAACTCTAAGCACAGCAGTAATCCTAGTGGAAATTTTTTTTAAAAAAGAAACTCTCAGGGATAACTGTGTGAAGCCATGGGAAAGGTTGCAGATAAAACGTTTCTCCCCCATGTTAAATGTGAACTTTGTGTTACTGGACACTGAGAAAATGCAGGCTGCCATATTGTTCTAGACCTTGCATGGCAGTCCTTCATTACATCCCACAAAACAAAGATAAAGCATTGCTTCCTTCTATTCCCTTCTTTCTTCATTCAACTGCACAACGCTCTGTTTACCTAGTTTTACAAGGTTAGTGTACATTGGGTCAGGAATTAGTCCACATTTATGAACATTGTCTACAAATGCTACATGACATTCCCACATCCTAAATAAGAGAGAACCTATATGTTTTTTTTTAAAAAAAAAATATTTAATTTTCTGCACCTGGGTTTACCAATATTCAAGCATCTTGTCTCTGGAAAATCATGGGTCAGAAAATCCTGTAGAAGAATATATATGGAGGGGGGAGGTGTATCCACATTTCCCCAGCAATTTTAAAAGATGTAAAACCTTTCCCTGCCTGGCGATTTTAGTCACATTTTGGACAATCTTTGGTATAATGCTGCTATCGACTCCTATGCGCCATTGGTTTGACCCTTCAACCTTGGAAATTTGGAAAGCTACTGAGAATTGCTTGTAAATATGTTAGTAAAGCAATGAACTGGGAGATTTGTATTTATATTATCGGCTTCTGTTTTGATTGTGTATACTCCAGAGAAAACATTAGTCCATGGTGGCCAGTAAATTTCACATACAAAGTAGAAAGAAAGAAAGAAATACCCTAAGCGATGAGAAGTTATTTGTGCATTTGTAAATAATTTGCCACGATTATGCAGAAAAATAGTGCTTCTCAGGGTAGAAAACAGTGCATTCGAAATGTGGCCACCACAGAGACTTCTTGTCAGCTACAAGTTTCTTGTGGGAACAAATTTCTCAAGCATGCTGGACCCCGATTTGTTTCAGGACTGTGGCACATGAGAGAGAAGGGGTTCCTGGTGACACGTGGGAGAGAAGGGGTTCATACCTTCTCCTCCTGAGCCAGTATGGACTTAGTATGGTCCTGGAGACATTATTTGACTGGATGGCAGCTATATATGTAGTTCATCACTGCACGTTTATCTACCAACAGAAGCAATATTTTCTTCCAGGGCCATGTTGGATTGGGAGAATTGCCTGGGGGGGAGGCAAAGGTCCCTTCTCCTTACACACCACAATGCCAATCTGAATTGGGGTTGCATGCAGCTAAGAACAGGGTTCCTACGGGGAACTTATCTGCCTGTAAGTCTCTATGGTGGTCATGCGTCAGACATAAGTAATAAATCTGGTGTAAACATCAAGGCATGGAAACCCCCCTCCCTTCCAAAAAAAACCCAGCTTACTCATGGGCGATTCCATGCAGCTAGCATGGGATGTGAATTGAGACCCATGTCTTGAGCATTAGCATGCACCACAGATCTGTGACCTGGGGTTACGTAGGTGCTGTGAACTCATCGGACAAGTGACGGAATTCCAAAGAGCAGGGGAGGGGGGAATTACATACCCAGCATTATGTTCAAACCTGCCCTTTGACACAGTTCAGCCTGCAATCCCACCATACATACATGGAAACAAGTTCCATGTGAGCTATTTTCAACATGACAAGGCTCCAAACTTGGGTTTACCACCAAGTACAGGGAGTCACAGTGAATCCTGCCTCTCAGCTAGTGTAGATGTCTGATGCACACACTTTCAAATACCTGTGTGTTGCATGCAAAAATGTTTAGGCATATTCCTAGACATAAGCAGCCCTATAGATGTTCTGCAGAATTCAGTGGGATGTACTTGTGGGGGGGGGGAGATGCTAAGGATCAGGGTGGCGTGAATCACGGCAGCTTTATTTTACTACAAAGCCTAGTTAGATTTATATGAACTATTTATTCTGTACAGTTTGTAAGTTTTTTTTTTTTAAGTTCACAATGATTATGATTATACTTCTCGGGTGCCTTTCAAGGAAATCAAAGAACTTCTCACTAGAAATAATAATAATTTTAAAAAGATGACAATAAAGGTTGCTCTTTTTAAAAAAAAAAAATGAAATGCCTTTTTTTCCTGAAAAGTTCCCTTTGGAAATTAAAAAAGAAGAAGGAGGAGGAGGAGGACTTGGCAAGGGCTGTATACACACACAAGTTCAGATTTGTTCCGAAATGAAATGGTGTTGAGCGTACTGAAGTCTCTTGTACAAAGTGTGAGGCCATTTGATATTCGATAGACTGAGACAGCACCAAATTGCAAATCTGAACTGTATTTCCTCTCTTTTTGAAGTTTCAGTCCTCTGTAAAACAACAACAGTTGGTAGGTAATGTGTTTTCTTCTTCTTAATGGCTCTACACAAAGAGGAATTGATATAACAGTGCATTTTTGAATACATATACGTTTGAGGACTATGTGAATACGGGTTATATCCAGTCAGTTATTCTAGTGGTGAAAAAGGGAGGTGGGGTTCCCCTTAACCACCCATAAAGGCTGTCTTGGGGATCATGGCACCTGCATGGATAAAAGCCATGTAGGATTAGGGCTTCATAAAGGAAGAGAAAAGGTGAGTTCGAAGGGAAACACTGGCTGGATCCAATCCTATATATAGGTATAGATGCACATAAGAAGTCGCCATAATCCATGCATGATCCAGAAATACAATTTCTTCACGAAAAAAGTTTGCAAATATTCGCAAGAAATAGAAACTCTCAAAGCAAATGATTTGCCTCTAATACTTTATTCGCATAAATTGGTGTAAGGCTACAACACGGTTTACCAAAACTGGACTTTTACATTACTGTTTATTTTATCTTAACCATCTTCACACTTGGATTTGTTTCTTCATTATTATAGTTACCAAAAAAAAAAAGGTTCCCAAGAATAAATATGACGAATGTGATCGCTTGTATGGTGACTTCTCAGAGGTACAGCATATAGTACATTTATCAAAGGGGTGCCACAGAACTAGCATCCACAAAGAGAATTATCTACACACATGCATGCAAAAATGTAGAAGTCCTTACAATATGGGCCAACACAGCCATATTGTGTGTCTTCAACATGTATGCATCACTAGCCACCATGGACAGGCCATGAAGCCATGATAATTCATACTTGATGGAAACATCTTAGTACTTTCCACTGTTATAGCAGAAGAGTGTTCACCAGAGGATGCTAGTTTGGGTACTCCCCAAAGAAATATAAAGTATGTTTGATCCAATTGGTATAGCAAAATTAACTTATTATCATAACAGTTCAGTAATGTGCATGTACTCGTGTATAAAAACAATTGCACTCACTGACATTTTCCATGTGGGATCCAGCCAGCCAGCTTTCCTCCTCAGAGTAGGGTAATTTGGTTCTCTTTACTACAGTTCCCATCCAATACAGTCCCCAACCAATATAGTTTTTGGTCATGAAGATCCCATGATTCCTATAGTGTTGCCAGGTACCTCCTGGTACCCGACGGGAGGTGGGAGGGACTTACCAGGAGCAACAGGGAGGCCCAGCCTTCACATAGTGGCTTGCCTACATCGCTGCCCACATAACCTGGAAGTGACATCATCACTTCCAGATAGGGCTGCCAAGTGGGGGCGGGTGGCGGGTAAACCCCCGCTTTGGAGGCCTGATTTCTGCTGCCGTGGAATCAGGCCCCGGGGGGAACCCCGCCCCCCAAAGCACAGTGTGGCTGCATCACAGGAAGTGACGCAACCACGTAGATCACGTTGGGGGCGTGGCCCCAATTATTGGAGGGAAAACTCTATGGTTTTCCTTCCAACGATTGGGGCCACACCCCCAACATGCTCTATGTTGTGTGTCACTTCCTGTGATGTTCTGGCGGCGCGCGTGTGCATCCGGCAGCAGCTCCCAGACCCCGGCAATGCTCCCCCGCCGGTGAGTTTGATCGACTTGGCAACCCTACTTCCAGAATGTCAAGGTGACGCTCTGGTATATGGGACTAGACTTCTCGGTGATAAATTTGGCTTCTACCATAGAGTTTTGCCCAAATACCAGAGTGTTACCCCCAATGTCCAAGAAGTGACTTTCACCTCTGGGTCATGGGGGTAATGATGCTGGATCTCTCTCTTTTTCTGGGTGAGTTTCCCCAACAGGTCAGCTGATCGCTGGTGGGGAGGTAGGGCCTGGGAGCAGGGGACCCCCGCCTGCAAGAGGGGATCTGGCAATGCTAGTTCCCCAGCAGAGCCCTTTTGGGAGGTCAGAGGGGTCTCCTTCCATTCTCACCAGAGCAAAAGTTGGGTTAGATCCAGTCCCCCATTTTGAGTAAACACCAAGAAGATTGTATTGCATGATGCTGATCATATGGCTGCTAGCCTCGGTGTGCTGAACAGGAAGTAAATTGTATCTAGACTAGAACTTCTGAATGCATCTATTTAAGACTGAGCCATACATATGGGATTAGCTTCAGTGGGTAGCTGTGCTGATCTGCAGTAAAACAGTTAGATTTGAGTTCAGTAGTCTAAGATGAGACTGGACTCAAATCTAAATATGGGTTTGGATACAGTCAGTTATTCTGCTGGTGAAAACAGGTGAAAGGCTCTGCTGGGGATCATGGGGCCTGCGTGAATAAAAGCCATGTCAGTCAGGAGCGATAGCAAGGAGGGGGATTCAGCAAGCTTCAACAAAAAAAAAAGCTGGATGGATCCAACTCACAGACATTTGGCGCCTTTCCTTCCCTGTGTTTATATTAATGTAGACGTATATTTCTCACTCCAGATGTGCAGTTTTATGGATTACTAACATCCTCCTAAATAATACTGCTTTGACCTAAAAAAAAACACCCCACCCCCAATTGGCTATTGATGCATGAGAAGCTCCTAAGGGTAAATGGCCTGAGATGATGATGGGTATTCTTTATGTAATTTTATGAAATAGTTTAGTGACTGAATAATACTCAGAAACTCTTCTGTGGGCTTGCACGGCTGCTGTTCTTCCATGGAAGTATTTTTGTCCTATTGTTGCATGA